AGCAGGAACCCCGGCATGTTTTGCATCTGGTGTGCAGTGTGAAGAAGAGTCCTTCAATGCCAGGAGCCAGCACAAAGGTATGTCTGCTTTCTCATGATGATAGCAGTTCGTGTCATTCAGACTCTCAAGGTCAAAATAAAGGAAGTTGGATAAAACTCTTAAGTCTTTTTATCATATAATATTTTGTCTCTTCCCCAGTGAGAATCAGGAATAAGAAAGTGTTATCAATACAAGTGAGAGTTCACTATAATAGTAGTAGACTATTCCATTAGTGTTGTAGTGGAAAAGTGGAGCTCTGCAGTACACTGTTTTCTGGGATTTGATTTGATCTATAGTGGCTGTGTATCCAGATCACCGAACTAGCAAGGCAGTCATGAATTTAGCACATAATAAATTTCTTCTAAGGAACCACTGATTTTTATAAAGAGTAAAAAAATGACTATATTTCCTTTGGAAATTTTCATTGTGATTATTTGTTTGGATAGGAAAAGGCCGCAGTCTTTATCAAGTGGTCTCTTAAGACTTGCTTATGTTAGATGGTCAAAATCCCTCATTTTTCATTTCACAGTGTTAGTTCAAATATACGGTATTAAGGGACTTCCCTGGTGGCACAGTGGTTAAGAATCCACCTGCCAATGCAGGGGACACGGCTTCAATCCCTGGTCCGGGGAGATTCCACATGCCGTGGAGCAGCTAAGCCCCCCGCGCCACAACTACTGAGCCTGCGCTCTAGAACCCTAGAGCCACAGCTACTGAGCCCATGTGCCACAACTACTGAAGCCCTCCCATCTAGAGCCCGTGCTCTGCAACAAGAGTAGCCACGACAATGAGAAGCCCACACACCGCAACGAAGAGTAGCCCCTGCTTTCCTCAGCTAGAGGAAGCCTGCGCACAGCAACAAAGACCCAATGCAGCCAAACATAAAAATAAATTTATTTTAAATATATATATATATACAGTATCAATATTGTAATGTGGTGATACACTCTAAATTTGCATATTACAACTGTACATCCTGAAACATCTGAATATAGTGTAAGAAATTCTTTAGGTTGCTGGCTGGGTTGTCTTTATAAATCTTATTGGTCAAATTTAATTTCTTAGTAAATTTAACACCATAAAATGTATAGAAAAAGAAGATGTATAGAGCATTAACAGGAAGCTTTCTCACCAGTGATAACTTCATTGGGAGATTTTAGTGAAACTACAGCATAGCTACTCTAGGAGAAAATATGGATTTTTTTTTTTTTAGTATCTGTATTGATACTGTGTTGAACGAATTTTAGAATATTCATGTAACATTGCATCTGTTTGATTTTGTCAGGTTCAGAGGTCGGGGTTGGGGACATAAGCCATTCACAGAGAAAGAATCCTTGAAGCTTGATTTCACACAGTTGCATCAGGCCTTTTGTTCTCATGTTCATGTTACACTTATCTAGGTTGCTGAATCCATAGAGCAGCCCGCTGGTCTTAATCAGGGACAGTCTCCTGAGGATTCCTCAAGTGACGGTTTAAGGCAAAGGGAGGTTGTTCGGAACCCTTTTCCCTCTGGATGGGAGAATATCTCGAGGTGAGTGTTGTAATAAAGAAGCAGGTTGTACAACATGAATGTGCATTATTTGCATCAACTTAAGAATAAGCTGTGTTTATATAGTCAGAATTTTTAAATGGACAAAATTTTGCTTTATAAGGGCTTCCCTTTAAAGATCTCTTCTGTATTTAACTTTTCTTAATACATAGCCTTTTAGGAACATCTAAAAAGTGGAGATGCATGTCCTGAAAATCTGGGCATTTCTCCTCCTACGTGGGTGTGCTTCACATTGCACTGACCTCATGGTAGGGAATTAGTGCTGGTGCAGAAAAGCAGCTGTTGTAAGCACTGCGCAGCTGCTTTGCCGAGTGGCTTTGTGCTTTGTCTGCCGTAACAGTGGGTGACAAAAGGTGAAGGGATTGTTTGAGAAATGCTCTGCCAAGTACTGTGTTGGTGGTGCTAGGAGAAAAGGAGCAATTAGAGCATTTCTTTAGCGCAAAAGCCAGAAGCGACTAAATGCTGTGATGTTCGGATTTCACAGCTCTTGGAACACCTTACTATGAAAGATCCTATGGGAAAAAAGTTTATTAACCACAAGTTGAAACTCTGTTACTCCCCGAGTCCCCTGCCCACCATTTCCTAGTAGTTTTTAATATCTGATTGTTGATAAAGTCAGGTGTTTGAGGAATGAAGAGTTGTTTTTTTTTCTTAATGGAGGTTTTCAAATATACACGAAAGTAGAGGGAACTGTATAATGAATCTCCATATAATGATCAAAGTTTTGCCATACTTGCTTTGTCTCTTCCTGTTTCCCATTTTTTCCTGAAGTATTTAAAAGTAATTCCCAGACATTATGTCAGTTCACTTCTACATACTTCAGGATATAACTCTAAAAACCTTTTAGTTATTTTGCGTATCTGCAGTGTCATCATCATCAGAGCTAACAAAAGCACTTTGTTATTTTCTCATTTCCATGTACTGTATCTTTTTTAAATGATCAAAAACAGTATCGTACCAAGACCTATTTGTATTAGAATACAATTTTAGAAATACTCTGGGTATGGAATTTGGTTAAGTTCCATACCTAGCATATAAAGTGGATAATTGAATTCATTATTGGATAGAAACACTTAAAACTGTTTCCCTTTTTCTGGCTATACGATTTGAGAATTGAAGCTCATATCTGACTATGAATTTTACCATAATAAAACTTGATTTCGTCCAACAAATATTTATTGGACAGCCGGTGCATATAAGTTTGTTTAAGGATAGGAGTTGACCAGCAGAGATGACCACATAACAACTCCTGATCTTTCTGCAGTTCTGTTAGTTTGAATTTTGTGAAGTGATGCCAAAGGAGTTCACTGTGTAGGGCTCACAAAACCAGAGATGACTCCCACACACACCCTGCCCCAGGCTGCGCTGGATGATAGAGGCATGAGTTTGGTGTCAAACAGGTCTCAAATCCAGCCCTACTACTTACAGGTTCAGTGACCTCATGCAGATCCTTTGTCTTCCCTGAGCTGCACTCAGACTCCCCTCTGTAAAATGGTAGAGTGCAGAGCTCCCTCCCCACAAGGTTGTTGGGGATCCCGTGAGATAACAGCCCAGCGGCCTTACAAGGCACAAGTGGTCAGTAAGCATGCATGGGTGGTGCCACACATAACTCTGCTCCCCGTATAGTTCAGATCAGGGGTGAGGGAGAAATGGATATTGGGAGGAAAGGAGTATTTCCTGCAGAAAAGACTTTGGGAGAGGTGTGGCTTTTTAGAGCTGCTCCCTAAAGAATGAATAGTGGGGTTTAGACCTTCAGTGAGACTCAGCAAGTCTAAAATAAGGGTGGGGATCCACTTAGACTGAAAAGGTCCAGCTTGTTTGTACATCATGGTGATGACATCATGAGACCCCAGTGCTGGACAGAGGGCTCTTGTTTTCCCATGGGATCCAGACCATGGGAGGGGGGCTTTGTCAGTATTTTCTGTGATTGTATTACACAGGTGCATCACCCAGAAATCTACATGTAACTATCATAAAGCTCAGTCTTCTGTCTCTTTGTTTTGAATTCCTGATTGTAATTTAAACTTAATTTTCCTTTATTCATACTAAACCAACTCAAAAAGAGCATTTTTTGAAATCTTTCATAGGCCTGAAGCTGCCCAGCCGGCATTCCAAGGCCTGGGGCCTGGTTTCTCAGGCTACACAACCTATGGGTGGCTGCAGCTCTCCTGGTTCCAGCAGATATACGCACGGCAGTACTACATGCAGTAGTGAGTCTTTCCTCATGGCGCTGGGTGTGGCCAGAGCTCCCAGAAATTGAGGGAACTCCCATCTATGTTACCCATAAAGTTAGGAAGGGCAGGATGAGTGTGTTTTCATCACTTATCTGCAGAGTCCTTTCTGTGGTGGAAGAGAGTATAAATGATAACTACTGATTTGTGTTTTGATGCATAGTTTGCTGACTGATCCATAGTTTGATGACTTTATTTAGAATATGTTATTTCCTCTTTTTTTCTTTTCAATTCGTGATATCTTTAACATTTTATGAAAATCTTAATTTGCTACTGCACCATATTTTCATGGTGGCCTTGGTGTTTAATTCCAGATGAAATTTACCAAGCACCTTCTCTTAGGAGTAGAAAAGGCATTTATAGATATGACTATCAGTAAAGAAGTTCTTCACTAAGTTAAAGAAAAATCAAGTTTGTATATGCTTACTTAATAGTAAAAGATCCCTGCGTAAACGAGCTTATGAGAACAAGTCTTCATGGTGCCTTGCTCTCAACAGTATTTGCCTCTGTCATTTTTATTTTAGCTTAGCAGCCACTGCTGCGTCAGGGACTCTTGTCCCCTCGCCAAGTGCACAAGAGATACCTGTGGTCTCTGCGCCTGCTCCAGCCCCTATCCACAACCAGTTTCCAGCTGAAAACCAGCCCGCCAATCAGAATGCTGCTCCTCAAGTGGTGGTTAATCCTGGGGCCAATCAGAATTTGCGGATGAATGCACAGGGTGGCCCTATTGTGGAAGAAGATGATGAGATAAATCGAGATTGGTTGGATTGGACCTATTCAGCAGCTACGTTTTCCGTTTTTCTTAGTATCCTCTACTTCTACTCTTCCCTGAGCAGATTCCTCATGGTCATGGGGGCCACCGTAGTTATGTACCTGTAAGCAGATGATTTCGCTTTCCCTTTTTTCCCTTTACTACAGATTACACCGTGTGGTGACTCAAACCAAGTGCAGATTTTCCTCTTTTTTGAGCAGTCTCAGTCAGTATTTAAGGAGGTGTATTTAAATAGTATGTCATTCTAGGATTTTCGATGCAAAGAATTGATGGTTTGGTTGCGCATTGCCAAAAACACAGTTAATTCTGTGTTAATACAGGAACAACATTCTCTTCTTTTCCTCTAGTTAAGTTACCTGCCAGGCTCATGAACCACAATAAAACAGCCATACTGAGGCATGGAGAGGAACATTGTATTTGTGTTGAATAAGAACATATTTATCTTTTATCAGGCTACATACAGCTGCCTTCTAGGATAAAGGTCAGGCAATGGCTGTGACTCTGGCCTCTGAAGGGCCAGAGATCCATCACAGACCTGGCATTTGGCTTTATCCATGGCTTAGAGCAGTGGTTCTCAACCAGGGTAGTTTTGCATCTGCCTCTGCCCCCGCCCCCAAAACGTTTGGTGGTGTTTGGAGACATTTTTGACTGTCACAGCGAGGGGGGTGGTCCTGCTGGCATCTGGTTGGTAGCTGTTAAACATCCTCTGGTGCCCAGGACAGCCCCACAGTAAATATCCAGCCTGGTATGTCAGCAGTACTAAAGTTCAGAAACCCTGGCCTAGAGTTATATGTCCTTGTATGTGGTGAAAACTGACAGAAGAAATTTTTCCTCTATAGGAAAAATTGATTTTTATTTTAGTTTTTAAAAATCTTAAAAAAGAAATATTTAGAATAATGCATTAAATACTCATATCCAGTATTAATCATTGTTATATTTTGTCATATTTGCTTCAAGACTTGGGTTTAATTGGATTTTTCAGATGCAACTTTTAGTTAATTCTTTAAATTCTATAGTCTCTAGAATCATATATGTAGGTGACCAAATCTAGGTCTTAGTATGTTATTACATATAGTCACAGCTGTGTATGTATTTTCCCTTCCCCCTCTGTTCAGGTTTTCACGTGTAAGGTTTAGGTCAGATGAAGAAGTATTTATTGAGCACATTCTATGTGTCAGGTGCTGTTTATGTTGCTGGGCACATGATAATGAATAAAGCCTAGTTTGCATAGTGCCTGTCAAGAACCTGACAGGGCCAGTGAGAAAGTCTAGGAGTCGGTGTGGTGGAATGTCTCTGCAGATGGGCCTGGCTGCGAGCTTCTAATCAGGTTCTGCTCTGATGAGAGGAGGGGAGCAAGGGGAACCTCATCTCATTGAGAGGACCCCTAAATTCTTGAGTACATGTCACTCTGATGTTCACTAAGATGGACTTTATATGCTTCCTTTGAAGGCATCATGTTGGGTGGTTTCCGTTTCGACAGAGGCCAGTTCAGAACTTCCCGAATGATGGTCCTCCTCAGGAAGCTGCAGATCAGGACCCCAACAATAACTTCCAGGTAGGGAGCTTCCTCTGGAGCCCGGCGATCTCGGTGTGAAACACCAGGCTCTCGAGTCCTTAATCTTTAGATACCTTGTGGTGTACCATTTTATTAGGCTCAGTATTTCAAGATTTTTTTCAAATTAGCTATTTTTAAAACACTGTGTCATAAAATCCATCAGGTATTTTGGTCATGTGGCAGTTTGCATTTTGGCATATATAAGTAATGTTTTTTTTTAAACTCAATATTTTTAGTGTTCATTCTCAATAATGATATGTTATACCTTGGAAACTGCTAATGGAGAGTTATTCTAATTAAGGATTAGGAACATAAGCCTGTCTCACAGAATCGATTTCCTGGAAAATAACATACAGAAATAGAATTTTTAGGGACTTCCCCGGTGGTCCAGTGGCTGAGACTCTGTGCTCCCAGTACAGGGGGCCTGGGTTCGATCCCTGGTCAGGGAACTAGATCCCACATGCCGCAACTAAAATATCCCGCACGCAGCAACGAAGATTGAAGATCCCGCGTGCTGCAGCTAACACCCATCACTGCCAAATAAATAAATATTTAAAAAAAGAAATAGAATTTTTATAAGGCAGTTTAATGCATAATCCTAAAGGATATTCTTTTTAATATAAAGTGTCACCCTCGAATCTGTTTTTAGAATCCTTTGTTTCCAGTTTTAGTTTTTTTTTTAACTCGGGACACTGCCCAAATTAGAAAAATATCCGCATTTAATGAAGTGGCTAATTAATTACTAGTTAAATAATAGCTGAAGATCTAGTTACAGTACCTCATTTGATCTGCTACTTGCTGCCAGGAATATGGAAAACTATGCGAATGCTCCAGCACAGCTGTGCTGCGGAGGCTGGAGAAGGAGCTCTGTCCAGCTGGGGATGTCGTCCCCGGGGTCCTGCCTGCCTGGCTTGGCTTATGGGGCAAGGGTCCAGGGAGCCACTCTGCCCTTTCCTGACATTATTGGGTGCTTGTCACAGTCCTCTTTTCTCCTTGTGTTTTATCACCTGTAGGAAGACCCTGATCCTGAAATTGCAGACCCCAACCGCCTCCCTCCAGACAGAGACGTAGTGGATGAGGAGCAGACCAGCCCTTCGTTTATGAGCACAGCCTGGCTCGTCTTCAAGACTTTCTTTGCCTCTCTTCTTCCAGAAGGTCCCGCAGCCATAGCAAACTGATGGTGTTTGCTCTCTGGCTGCTAGAGGCTTTGGCAGGCGTGGACTGGATCATCTGGTTCTGGCTAGATTTCCTTACCTGGACGTGGCGATGGCACAGAATTAGTAAAAGAATCAACAAAGAGGATGATATGCTTTTGTGATTCTGCAAAAGCAGAAAGTAAGACGTGAAGCCATGATACAAATTGATGAACAAAAAATGCCTAAGGCTTCTCATGTCTTTACTCTGAAGAGCTTTAATATATATTGTTGTAGTTTAATAGACATTGTAAGTAGAAGGCATTAGTGTCGCATGTTTATGCCTGAGGAACTTTTCCAGATGTGTGTGTCTGCATGTGTGTTTGTACATAGATGCCATAGATGCAGAAATGGTTCTGCTGGTACGATTTGATTCCTGTTGGAATGTTTAAATTACACTAAGTGTACTACTTTATATAATCAATGAAATTGCTAGACATGTTTTAGCAGGACTTTTCTAGGAAAGACTTATGTATAATTGCTTTTTAAAATGCGTGCTTTACTTTAAACCAAGAGGAGCTTTGCAGAGGTGAAAACCTTTGCTGGGTTTTCTGTTCAATAAAGTTTTACTATGAATGACCCTGGCAGAGACTCCTGTCATCTTACCAGTTTATTCCGTGTCCATCATCTCTGGATGGTCAACAGCTGAGTTGCTGATTTTTGAGTAACCTGAATATTGTGCTTCTTTTTATTAAAGGACTGTTTGTACTGATGAAGAAGATAAGGTAAGGCCACAAAAGTTTTAATTTACTAAGATTATGCTTGTGTTTGCCCCCCATTTCCTGATTTAAACAGTACTGGCTTATGTTGTAACCCATCAGAGTTAAATTCCCACGATTTAAAGTTAATGGTATTAAGTACCTTTCACCTGCTCACATGTCATGCTGAGCTTACTTTTGGACTTTAATCCTTCTTTTAAGTATTATTTTTGAGACTAGTCTGAAAAGCAAAGTGCTGTGTACTTTTTAACATGAGTGATGCTGTAAGTAGAATGCTGAAGGCCTGGGAGTGTTGTTTTGGGCAAAGTATCATGAGCTTCTTGTGTCATGGTCCTTCATGATCATTTGAATGAATTGTGACTGGACACATTGACATCAAATAAACATTCACTGAACAATTCATAGCCAGATGCTGGGTAGATACAAAGCTGTTTTATGTATGGTCGTGCTTTAAAAAGCCAACTAAGATAATTATGTAAGGAGTGAAATGGCATAGAGTTTCAGATAACACCAGACCTCCAGAACAGAGGAATGGTCAGTCCGGAGGCAGTGATTATTGATGAGTTATGAAGGCAATGTTTGCTTGAAGGAAGAAGTGACTTGAGACTGGAGGTTTTGTAGTTTTACAAGTGAGGAAGTAGGTGACATAAAAAGCCTGAGGAGCTGGAGAGAGAAGGGTCACAGCAGAAGCAAGGGTGCAGAGATGAGACTTCCCTCCTGCCATGAAGCTGGATTGATGAAAGTGGTCATTAAGAGTTGATACGAAGGCCTTTTAAAACTGTTGGGTGGAAAATCCTGTCGTTTTGCAGAGCAAGGGGCATCATCGTTTGGAAGAGGGGCCTGGAGCCCCAGGCAGCTGGCGGTGCCCAGCTCCTGTTTCTGAAGGAGTGGGGCCTCTCTCCCTGTGGTGTCGGGTTGCATTGATTAAACTCCAGATTCCACCAGCCCAAAATAGTTCCAGGATGGTGCTCCTGAGGACAGCTGACAAGGGTTCAGATTGTCCCAAGCCCCACTAATACAAGAGAAGAACCTTCAGACAAGAGCCGAGGCTTAAGAGCGCTGTTGGGTGGGCGACATGGCAGAAATAAAAGTGATTCCACAACAGTTACTAAATATAGCATAAGGATGTACTACATATCACTGTTAATACTTAGGAAATTATTGGTTTGGGTCTCTGTTGTTAAGTAGAAATTAAAAAGCTAAAAGCACAAACCAAAAAATTTCCAAATGTTAGCTCAAGCCATAGTAGCTTTTTAAGTTTGCATTTTCCAAGGTGTGTTTTCTTGAATCCTAGTTCTGTAGAAGAAACACTCCAGAAAATGAGCCCATGGTCAAGTAAATTTGGAAACCAGGTTGATTCCAGTTGGTGGGTTTCTTCACTGCAGGATTCCCGGGGCCTTTAATATGCTGATGTACTTTTGAAGGAGGGTGTGTGGTCTGCGGCCCCTCTGTTCTGTGAACCTGCCCATGACTGAACGGAGTGCCACGGTTGGGGAAATGCAGTTGTTACTATTAATCAACACTTTGTTTGGCATTCTAAGCAGCAAACAGATGCATGGTGAGAAGTGATGGCATACATCCCTAATGAACAATGGAGATAAATATTCTTTATATGGCCAGGGAGGGTGTCAGAAGCCATGCGGATCTATAGTCTGACTGAGAGGGAGAGTTTACAGGTCATCTTTGTCAGAAGTGGCTGTTTTACCCATTTCTAAGGAAGTTAGCCCTTTGTCAGAAGAAACTGGAGTGGCCTCCCCGAGGTAGTTACCTTGAGAGATGCTGCTGATTCTTCTCAGGACCTATGCCCACCCCACCTCTCTTTGCTTCTAGACCTATAACCAGACTCAAGTCCCAGCAGGCCTCAAGGAGTGAACAGCTTTTTGCTACACACTGAAAGAGCTGCATGATTTTTCCAATTTATACAGACAGGTCTCAGGGGGTGCGTGGGAATGGATATTAATGGGTGTGGGTTAGTGGTGGAAGCAACACTGAGTTGGATCAGGCTGAATTTATTAACATGGATGCACTAAGCAGAGATTCTGCGTTTACTGTTTCAGCATGAAGAGTGAGGAAGGACCCTGTTTAGTTGGCTGAAACATAGTCTAACAGGTGGCCTACACTCAATGAAGTTGAAGTGCCAGGATTGCTTTAGGGAACTGTAGCAGAAGGTATTCTGAATCTTAGGAAGATTGGAATGTTAGAGTGGATTTTTTTTTAAATATTTATTTCGGCTGCGCCAGTTCTTAGTTGCGGCCCGCGGGATCTTCATTGCAACACGTGCCATCTTTTAGTTGCAGCATGAGGATTCTTGTGGCATGGCTGCGGGATCTAGTTCCCCCACCAGGGATCGAACCCGGGCCCCCTGCATTGGTAGCACCGCGTCTTACCCACTGGACCACCAGGGAAGTCCATCAGAGTGGATTTATCATGTCAGACCTGCTCACCCACCCTGCGAGGGTCCAGAGGACACACCTTTCACCACGACTGTGAGAAAGAAATTTGTGAGGGGAGCCCAGCATCACTGCAGAGCTCTGTGGTCATTCTTCTCTGTAGGTCAGAAATTACAGTGGGAACCACAGTTCCTGAACTAGGATCCTTAAATGCAATAGGGATAATCGGATTCCAGGGTGGCAGGGACCAAGTGGTAGAACTTAAATCACCAGAGATAAGGTGGCTGTGGATACCATTATGGTACCAGCGGAGTCTAAAAAGAAATAGAATCGATGGACTTGCAGAGACCTAGGGCATTGGCCAGTTGATTATGGTATCCCTTGGAAAGAGAGAAATGGGCAGGCTAACTAAATTCTTTTTTTTTTTTTTTTTTTTTTTTGGTGGTACGCGGGCCTCTCACTGTTGTGGCCTCTCCTGTTGCAGAGCACAGGCTCTGGATGCGCAGGCCCAGCGGCCACGGCTCACGGGCCCAGCCGCTCCGCGGCATGTGGGATCCTCCCAGACCGGGGCATGAACCTGTGTCCCCTGCATCGGCAGGCGGACTCTCAACCACTGCGCCACCAGGGAAGCCTGAACTAAATTCTTGATCTGTGTAAGCAGAAGTGAACAGAAGTCTCAGTTGAGTCACCCAAACAGAATTAGCTTCTCCATCGATTCCCGGACTTGAGACAGTTTCCAGACCCAGAAACCCTTGAATGAAGGCGGGCAAGTCTCCTTGAGGAAGGACCCTGCAACACTGAAAAAATTTACACTGTTTTGCCCAGCCTTCCCCTAAAGGAACCTGAAGCTTTTTATCAAGGTGACTGTGCATTGGGGAAAAGAAAATAATCAGACTTTGGGGGGATGGCTGGACACAGCCTCTAAACTAAAACTAATTCAAGGAGACCCAAAACGTGACTGTGATCTGCCAATCAAGAGTAGAAACTTATGGGGCTTCCCTGGTGGAGCAGTGGTTGAGAATCTGCCTGCCAATGTAGGGGACATGGGTTTGAGCCCTGGTCCAGGAGGATCCCACATGCCACGGAGCAGCTAACCCCGTGCGCCACAACTACTGAGACTGCGCTCTAGGGCCTGCGAGCCACAACTACTGAAGCCCTCCCACCTAGAGCCCGATCTCCGCAACAAGAGAAGCCACCGCAGTGAGAAGCACGCGCACCTCAACGAAGAGTAGCCCCTGCTCGCCGCAACTAGAGAAAGCCCGCGCGCAGTAACAAAGACCCAAGGCAGCCAAAGATAAATAAATTTTTTAAAAAATGCTCAATTAAAAAAAAAAAAGAGTAGAAATTTATGGAGGTCCATCTCACAGTAGGTCCGGTGGGTCCCTGAACCCATCTTGTGGTCATGTCCCCAGTTCCAGGATGTATAGTTGAAACAGACACACGGGCACATCTTGTTTTCCTGTGCTTCACTTTATTGTACTTTGCAGATAACTGTGTATTTTTTTGCAGGTTGAAGGTTTGTGGCAACCCTGCGCTGAGCAAGTCTATCAGGACCATTCTTCCAGCAGCATGTGCTCACTTCGTGTCTCTGTGTCAGATTTTGGTGATTCTCTCAATATTTCAGATCCTCCACCAGCAAAAAGATGATGACTCGCTGAAGGCTCAGATGATGATTAGCATTCTTTAGCTGTACAGTATTTTAAATTAAGGTACGTACATTGTTCTATTAGACATAATGTTATTCCACACTTAATAGACTATGGTATAGTGTAAACATAACTTTTACAGGCACTGGGAAACCAAAAAAAGTTCATATGACTCACTTTATTGCGATATTCGCTTTATTGCAGTGGACTGCAACCGAACCCGCAGTATCTCCAAGGTGTGCCTGTACTTAGCAACGGGCAGAATCCCCACACTGGTTCCCTCACGTGTGGAGTGAGGCCTATTATGGT